GTAAAAATCTGCATTTGTTTTGCTAGAAAATTACTTAGAACCCCCAAAAATGGTGGGTGTTTAAATTTTTTATGTCACATGATATTTGCGCTGCACTTTTTCAAATGCAAATTTTCATGTCAAAATATATTTTATTGAATTTTAGTGGCTGCAAACACAATATAATACCCAATATTTTGACTTCCCCTTTACAATGGCAGGGTAGTCAAATGCTTAAAATAAGCTAAGTTGTGGTACAATTTAGTAGCAGGGGTCTGTCTTTATAATGGAAGCGACTGGAAAGTTACCTGATCACATCTACATGCTGCCCCTGCACCCACTATTCACAAGCTAATCCTGGAAATCACCTTTTGAACCAAACAAAATTATAATGATGACATTCTACAGAGATTCCATTACTGACTTACTGATGTCAGAATACAAAGTCTAACAGACAACCTGCATTTGCAAGTGGACTGAAATGACTACAGCTGCTGGAGTGAGATTTAAATTTTAAATGCTTTGCAGTGAATCAAGGGGGTTCCCAAAATGTCTATGGTTCACAAGTTCTAAGCCATTACTAGTGATTTCCTTGTAACATAATCATACTTCAATCATCGTGATACATTCTTAACAAAAATGTTTATCTTTCTTCAATTATTAAAATTACACAATCATTTCGTTACATTTGATTACACACTTAATATTGAAATCAAAAGAATAAAACTCAACCCAAAATTCGTACATTTTAAAGTTCATTGTATTAAATATATTGAATTTTGTTTAGAGAGTATACCATAGAGAAGCATCAATAAAAAATATATAAAAGAGCCTCAAAGTCATCTATCTATACTTTTCAAAATAATACAGAGGTATTCAAATTTGAAAGTCTGAGAAAACGTGTTAAACTACAACTTCACTGACACCTATGTTTACCTGTAAAATCCATGGAGCTATTGGCTCCTTCTGCTGTCAGTCAGATGCAGTGAGGGGGGAGTGGGGGGTTTTGATGAGCTATGCTGTGTGTGTCAATAGACGCATGCAGCCTGGATCAGGATCAAGCCCACACGAGTGCCTTCATAGCAAGCGCCTTCCTATGGGGGCACTAGAAAGTGAGGAGGAGTCAAGAGTGCCAGCAGGGGACCCCAGAAGAGGAAGCTCAGGGCCGCTCTGTGCAAAACTATCACACAGAACAGGTAAGTATAACATGTTTGTAAAGTTAAACGTTTTTTTTCAAATAGCAATCACTTTAGGAATCAAGTCCTGTGACCTGTACTGTACAATTAAGATAAGCAAATTTGACAGGTGCTGTTTTTGCTTAGTATAAACTTATCTGAATTGTGACTATCTAATGGTATTAAACAATTGATTAAACACAGTAGTAAAACATAAGGTGAGTTATAGGTAAGAAACATAAGGCAAAAATAGTTAGCAGTTTTATTTAAAAAACGTGGGAAAATGGCAATTATTTTTTAAAAATAAACAGGCACCAGTCATGGTTCAGCTTTTTACAAATATGCAGGAAACCTATGCTAAAATGTGGAAAGATAATTTCTCATTGGTTGATGGGGATTATTGCAACATGTTGCCTTTTACAATATGTAATGAAATAAAACTTAAAGTGCAAAAATGTCACTGTTTTAGGATTTTGCTCCAAGGTAATCCTTTTGTATAACAAGGGAACCTTCTCTATAAGCTTATAAATAGCAAATGAAGGTATGAGGGCTGAATAACTCACTACAATGATCAATGCAGGTAACTTTTTTATATACTGTGTGGCTCCCATATTTGCAAATGTGTACACTTTCAATAACATTTGCAAATGTATGCACTTTTAATAAATGTTTTAATTATGTCCCATTATCTGGGTAACAGATGAATGTTGAGACTTTATTGCAGTTTCCTTGGTATTTCTCTAAATAAAAGGTACTACTGAGTCATTTGTACCATGACAGCTTTCCAAGCTTTTTCTTTATCAAAGTTTCTCAGAGTGTTGTTGGAAACCTGCATGGAAAAAGAAATACAGAGAAAGTAACATCCCAAAAACAAAACAATCTGAAAAAGAATGTTTAACTGCAAATACAGATCATCATCTTTCCTATGTGCTCATCTCTTCACATACTCCAGCAACAGTAACACAGGAATACATACATTTTCCAGCTCTAAAAACCTTTTCTATATCACATACTGTAATTATATCCTAATGGGTTGTAAGCAATTCAACCCTGTCTTTACTTATACTCTATTTGTGATTCATACAACCATTTATATCCCTCCCTTATACCCAACAGAACAAAAGATTTTCCATCTACAGTCATGGCCAAATATATTGATATATTGTATTTCTGTCAGATGATGTACCACTTCACCCGGAAAATTGTTGCAATTACAAATGTTTAGGCATTCTCAAGTTTATTTCTGTCAGATGATGTACCACTTCACCCGGAAAATTGTTGCAATTACAAATGTTTAGGCATTCTCAAGTTTATTTCTTTTGTTTGTATTGGTATGGCACAAAAAAGTGGAGAAACAAAAAACAAATCTGACACATTCCTTGCAAAACCCAAAAAATGGACTGGACAAAATTATTGGCAACCTCAATTTAATATTTGGTAGCACACCCCTTGGAAAAAATAACTGAAATCAATCGCTTCCTGTACCCATCAATGAATTGCTTACACTTATCTACTGGAATTTTGGACCACTCTTCTTTTGCCAACTGCTCCAGGTCTCTCAGACTGGAGTAGTTCCTTTTCCCAACTGCTATTTTGAGATCTCTAGTTGTTCTATGGGATTGAGATCTGTACTTGTTGCTGGCCAGTTCAGTACTTTCCAGCGCTGTGTCTTAAACCATTTCTGGGTGCTTTTCGACGTGTGCTTTGGGTCATTGTCCTGATGTAAGATACATGTCCTCTGACAGAGACCCAACTTTCTGGCACTGGGCCCTACATTGTACTCCAGAATTCTTTAGTAGTCTTCAGATTTCCTAAAGCCATTCACACGGTGAAGACATCCAGTGCCTAAAGCAGCAAAGCAACCCTAAAATATCAGTGAACCTCCACCATGTTTGACTGTTGGGACTGTATTCTTTTCTTTAAAGGCCTCATTTCTTTTTCTGAAAACAGTAGAATGATGGGCTTTACCAAAAAGCTGTAATTTTGTTTCATCTGTTGATAGCACATTCTCCCAAAATGATTTTGGCTTCCTCAGGTAAGTTTTGGCAAACTCCAATCTAGTTTCTTATGTTTCTGTGTTAGCAGTGGGGTCCTCCTGGGTCTCCTACCATATCATCCATTTTTATTCTGGAGGTGATGTATAGTGCGAGCTGACACAGTTGCACCCTGAGCCTGAAGGTTAGCTTAAATTTGTCTGAAAGTTGATTGAGGTTCTTCTATCCACCATTCGAATAATCCTTCATTGCAATCTTTTACCAATTTCCTCTCTTTTGTCCATGGTCAGGGAGAATATCTACAGTGCCATGGGCTGTAAACTTCTTGACAATGTTGCGCACGGTAGACACAGGGACAATAATATTTGTTAATTAATACAGATGAGTTCAATTATAAATTACAAAAGCATCACAAACTTGGAATGCAATTATTTCTTACAATTTAGCCACAAGTTGCCGTTAATTTTGTCCAGTCCATTTTTGGGGTTTTGTATGGAATGTGTCAGATAAGGCTTTTCATTTCACCACTTTTTTGTGTCATACCAATACAAACAAAATAAATAAACATGAGAATGACTAAACATTTGTAATTGAAAACCGAACACCTGTACATTAGGAGTGAACCACAAGTGTTAACAGAGGTACCAAGTTACAAGGACATTGCTTGCACATTAATATCATAAATAGGCATCACTGAGAAGTTATTAGGGATACACATTGTCAGGGACTTCATCAGCGACATATAGGTCAAACTGCCATAGACATTAGAAGAGACACACATCGTCAGTGACATTAACAAAGAAGTATATCATCTATGGGCACAACCTGCATTATTTGGGTCACAAAGCCATTGACCAAGGACAATTCCAGCTGATAAGCATTACCCCCAGCCCTTCTTTTCATCCACCTGTTATTTAAATCCAACAATGATCAGCTAGAGTAGCAATTTCCCTAGTGTTGCAACACCTGTTTAACAGGAGAAAACTGTTCTAGATGTAAACTCACCATCATTTCATGACCACCTATCTCTAGGTAAGTCACGCTCGCTTTTTGGGACTATCCCAGTCTGCAATCCAGTCCTGATATTCCTTTGCCCTTAGGGATAGTCTATGGGATAGTCCCAAAAAGGGAGTGTGACTTACCTAGAGATAGGTGGTGAAATGACGGTGAGTTTACATCTATGTTGGGCACCAGTGTGAACGTAGTGAAGCACTTGTCATTTTAATATGGAGTATCACTGTTAAAGATACAGCACCATTGCACCAATTATTCACATGTTGGGGCTGAATATTAATATTGTATTTGTATTTTGCTCTGTGCTATCACTTTAAAGATTGCAAAATTTATTTTGTCTATTTGTGACCTTAGCGCGGTCCATTTTTTAAATATCTCTTTCAAACATATATATCTAAATGATTAGCAGCACAGGCACTTCCTCCACCTCCTTGACTTCACTATTTTCTTCATGTGTAGAAATGAAAGGACATAAAAAGTGTACCTCATTTATAGCCATGCTGCATCCAGACATTGGCAGGTTCAAACAGAGCAGCACAAAGTTTGATTACGTTTCAGTTCCTGAAAAAAAGTTCCACTTAAATGGATTCTGTGAATTGCGAGCTGAACTTCTGACAATACATTCTGAAGGAAATTAAGCCCTCTATTCACTCTATATTAGAGGACATGTAGGAAATCATACATTCTACAAATGGGTAAAATGTTCAGAGTATGTTCCCTTATGTAAAAGTTGAGGTATCATTTACAGCTGAACTCAGAATGGCAATGTTTTAATATACGTACAGTACATATAGTGTTAACTACTTACCTGTAGTGTATCTGGGCTTTTTCCTTTTCATCAATAAGCAAAACTCTTCTTTTTAGTTTTGTTTTGTACAGCTTCAGCTGTACTTCCACTCTTCGATGACACCAGCACTACTGCCTTTTGCCCTGTGTACACCTGATCATTAACAAAACACAGCCTGTAATGGCGCTGCAGCAGTGTGTCATCACAGCCACAGCTAAAAAGGGGAGTATGCTGACTGAAGACAAGAAAAAAACTGCAAGATAAGGAACCAATACCACATCTATTAAAATCATAGTTGTGGAGTTAAGCTTTATGTAAGACCATTGTCTTACCATTTTGTAAACAAAAGGTAAAGTGGTTGTAAACCTCTGGCATAAAATATGAACACATGACTTCCCACTATAGTGTGTACTTGTCTTAATCCAGAGCATTACGTGTCATTTCTGTCTACTGCTTAATTCCTCTGTTATCTGCATAATTCACTTTTGACAAGTTTTCCTGACATGAAGAGAAAAATGGTGACAGGAAGGGAGCTCCAACAGATTGACAGCCTCAGCTCTGTTCCTGTGAGCTATGTGGAGGGGGTGTGTCTCTTCCCTCAAATCAGCTCTGAGACCTCTCCTGACTGAGCTCTGCAGAGTCTAATTTCAGCTTTCCTCCCCTTTTTTCTGAACTCTCAGATAAGCTTTATAAATTCTGCAGTCCGAACGAATGTAGAGAAGAAAAGACTGTAGATAGACAGGCACAACTCGTGTAGGAAGATTTGTGTCATCTCCGTCTATCACCTGAGGCCAGTCACTTCACTGAGTAAATGTAAGGGTTTACAAACACATTTTAATTACTTTTATGAAACTGTGGATAGTATTTAAATGATACTTACTTCATTATTTCTTTGACCAGACTTGTCCACATATGATACATTCCAGGATGAGTCCAGAACTCTCATTTGTGATTTATAATGGACGCACTGTATGACTGTAATATTTGTGAGCACAGCTTGAACCAATAGGATCAGCATCAGGAGTACGAGCAACACTTCATAAAAGTGCTAAAGGGAAAAAGATCTACAGGTGAGTCTGAGTCGCTCCATGGTGAGAGATGATTGGTTGATTGTCAATTAGCAATATGTGCTCATTATCCCATCCCATAGATTATGCAATTTAGAAAGTTGCTCAGTTCCCCCATCAACACTAACTCCCTCCTGCAGCATTACTGTCTTCTGCTGGTGGGGAGCCTTCCCTTCAGGCAAAGCACAATGATCATTGCTGGTAGCTTTAGTTGCCAGCAGTGAGCGCATGAAAACAATCAGAGAGACTGGTGGTACTGAAGTTGACAGATGGATCAACTTCAGTATAACCACTCTGCCCATAGATTGATTGAATATTAGCCAGTCCCTGCTGAAGCAGCTGGGATTTGATCCATCTATGGCTGGCTTTAGGTGTGTCAATTGGTACTTTGATATGCAAAGTGACTTACAGAGGCACCATATATAACTATAGCCTATTACTAGAATACAAATGGACTGGTAAAAAAACAAAAATCAAAATTTAGCAGGTCAAAGGAACAGTTTGAAGTGACAGCATATGCCAAACATAGACAAAGAAAGAGGTCAGAGTTAATTAACAAGGATAGCTGAATGCCACTTCTCAACCTTTAAGAAAATCAATTTGTTTCATATTTTACAATATATCGCATTCTTACTGCCAGACACAACCTTGCCTAGTTCATCTCAACCAATTTACTTTCAGCTAGTGGGAGGGATTGGAAGAAGAGGGAATTGAAATCCCAAAGTGAAGATGCAAACAGACGCTACAGGTTACGTTGCAGCATTCATTACCCTTTTGCAGAGAACTGGTTGTATAACCAGATAAATATAGCAGTCATAAAGCTTCCAGTTGCCAAATAGTTGTGAAAGTACGTGTTAATATCTCCGCATGTATTATTAATAGAGTTTTTTGGGTTTTTTTAAATCAAACATGTAAACATGAAAAATAGTATACCCTCTCTTTTTTTCTACACTGCATTGTGATATTATATCAATGATATCTGTAAATCCATGTCAACTACCAAGAAGATTAAAAGTTGCCTTGTAGGAATTTGTAAAGAAACATCTAAGAAAATGATTTCTGCACTAGGCTTTCATTGTTCTGAAAACCTCTGGGCTTTCTGCAAATGACACATGGAGAGTAACATTAACATTCGCCATAAATATTACAGTCTGACTGTACAATGTTAGTACGTTCTCCTTTAATCCTGGGTTCACACTGATGTGGTGCATAATTCTCACAGGTTTCTGTGCAATTTCCGCACCACATCATAATCACACCCCATTTATGCGAACCGTTGCGGGTGTGTACTTTAACTTAACAACACCCCAAAATCGATTTGGAAAACGCAGAATGTGCAGAATTGGATTGAATGGGTGTGAGCTCCCACACGATCCGATTCTCGTGCAGACAAAAAAGGGTCCTGCACTACTTTGGTGCAGATGCAGTGTGATTTGAGCCATACAAATTGTATGGCTCAAATTGTAGCGCACAGAAATTGCATGTGATTTACACAGGAATGCAGTGCGTTTCCTGTGCGAATCACATGTGATGCGCCGCACCACATCAGTGTGAACCCTCATCAGATCTGCTAACAACTATGTAGTGCAAGGGCCTATTTAAACATTTATATCCAATAAGGCATGATTGCATTATTGTTGGTAAAGCTAAGCAAACTGTAAAAGTCTCAGATGAATCACTCTAATTGAAAGACTAATTAAAGTGGAACTACACTGCATCTGAGCGCAACAAACCAAAAATGCTATTCAATTCAATGTGAATATTCAAAGCAAACTCACCCATCCATCCATGTCTCCAAGGTTTATTTTGCTGAGAAATCATTTTTAAAAACACCCCATCTCAAGTGGCCATCTTGAGTAAAGACAGATGATTCATGTAGCATTTACTTCCTAGAATCCATCTGCTCTTAGCTCAAGCATTGGCTGAGTTGAGAACCCTCCCTCCCCTCCTGAAGACTGCTGAGATGTATGACATCATTTACCTAGGAATGGAAACCACAAAGTAACTGAATACATGTTTTAAAAAAAGTTTAACACAAGTAAATATGATATACTTTCCTATTCATTTACTAATGCTAGCAGCAAGAGGATTAAAAATAGTCCATGTTAATTGAGAGAGTGAAGTTCCACTTTAATTATTATATTTCATTTATAATTATAAAAACTTACTGTTACATCAGGTGGGTAGGTTTTAAAAATGACGACTGTCTGTATGACATAGATAGACAAGTAAGATGAAGTTGTAAATAATAATGGAGATGTAATGCTGCTGGTAGCAATCAGAACTTCAACCTAGGATAGAAACGTAAATGTTAAGCACAGCTCCTAGGGCAAAATACAGAGCAAACTAATGCTCAACTTAAATCATTGTTACAATTAAGCAAAGCATTTGCATTATTTAAAGTGATTCTAAAGTCAGGACATTTTTTACCTTAATCCATACCCTATATTAAGTTAAAAAATGTCCCAGTTTCACCTCCTTACCTCTCTTTATTTTTTTTTAAGTCCGCAAACGTGCAAACTACAACGAAAAACCCGTAAGTGATCACAAAAAAAGTGCAAGTGCGAACACCACACGAAAAAGTGCACTTAGGGGTGTGTTTGTCCTACCCCCGAAAGGGTTGGACCGTTCGCCTGATCCCCGGGGCACGAAGCTCCTGACAGGGACAAGGTTCCCATTTGGTCCTCCTGGCCAAAAGGCCTGGTGGACCACCGTTCCTTATGCCCAGCCGAAGCTGGACATCCAGTACTAGGCGAGGGGGTTCTCCCGAAGAGAAAAACCCCTAGGGATCAGGGGAGGAAGGAACCGTATGGCCACACATCCTCCCCCTAGACTTCAGGTAAGGCCCGAGGACCCACACCCTCCATCCGTGAAAAACACACACATAAGAACAGAAAAAGTGACAAACGTGGGAGTGCATAATAAATAAAGTAAAGATAAAGTAAAAAAATAATATAAAAAATGGTACCGTGCCGAAATGTGCACAGACCAGGCCCTGAGGCCTGTAGCAAAAATTGCCCTGAACTTAGCCAAAAGGCCTGGTCCTTAGGGCGCTGTGCAAAAAAGAGTGTAAAAACAGTGACCATGTGTCATTTTCACACCGTGGGGTCCCACACCCAAGTGTTACTAGTGACACCCCTGAGCGCGTCTCCTCAGGGGGCACTGAGTTTGCGGACTTTTTGCCTCCTCAGCCCCAGGCCAGACCAAGGTAGCATGTTCAAATCAGGAGGTACTGGGTCTTTTCCGGTCTCCCCAGAGGAATTACTCCCAAGGCCCCAGAACGAATCATGGCGCTCCCTGGTTTCTGTCCCTCCGGTACTAGCCTTCCGGACCCCCATCATACCAGTGAGGGTACTATACAACAACCATCCCCGTAAACTAGAATGGTCGGGAGCACCCCCACTGGACACTGATAAGAACAGATACTACACTTGATCTTAGCCAAAAGGCCGAGAAGCGATCTCTCTTTATACTTAAGGCAAAACTTTTTTTTAGTTTTGGATAGAGTGGATATGAATTAGAACACCTGGCAGGTTTTTATTGCTGTCTATGTCCTCATTAGGGAGAGCCATCCTCTCTATCTGTCCTGTTTAACATTATCATCAAAGGTGAAAGTAAAAGAAAATTTAAAATTTTGGGTTGTCCCCGGAAAAGTAATATCCCAGGAGTTTAATTGACATGATGCTATACTCTAATTAAAAAGTGTTCCTTTAATTTTTTTGAGCAGTGTATATGCTGTATATTGAACAACTCATCTCCATACAGCAGACCGTTGATGTCTTTAATCAATTTTGAAGACATATTGTTGGTTATTTAATAAAAACTGGAGAGTGCAAAATGTGGTTAACATCTGGGGCAATCAAAGGGTTAACTTTGTGCTGTATTACTGTGTGCTGCGTTTGTTTTGCTAGGGAGAGATCTGTGTTATTTGCACACAGACCTCTCCCCTGTCACTGTTCCTCGCCAGGTGCCGGAAAGGAATCTCCGGCTGGGACCGGTGATCAACAGCTGTAGCCTCCAATGGTGGCCAATGGTTGGCACGGGCAGGGTAGTGCGTGTGCGCTCCCCTTGCCCGGAAATGCAAAATCACGTGTGTATGTATATATATATATATATATATATATATGTGTGTGTGATTTTGCACAGCCCTGCCAACCTGTAGCAGTAGTTCTGCTATAGGGCGGCAGGAAACCGGTAATTGAACAAACTAGAAGCTGATTGGCTACAACGCACAGCTACACCATATTCTGAGTACTCCAGTTTTAGCAAATCTACCCCTTAGCGTGTCACTTTTTTTTTCCTTAGCTAAAGTTTAATATTTATATTATTAATTTTTTTAGTATTCAAGTAGAACTATTGTCAAAGAAAAATAATATATATAATGCAGTAAGGCTGATTTACTAAAGAAGGTATAAAATGTTTCACACAAATTTTGTGATTCACTTTATAAAAGCGTGTGAAAAAATAAATCCCTGTTCATTTAATTACAGGAAATCTTTAGACAATTTTTTTGTGTAGACAGCCTCAAATCGTTTAGTCAATCAGCCTTCAGCTTACCATGCACAGCTCGAATTTTTTCATACAGCCCTAGGGCTGAAAACATGTAACACATTCCTTCACGTGGATGGAATCTTTTGCTGGATGCCAGCATCTATTATATTCTGACAGCCGGCATGAGCAGCTGTTAGAACACCTTAAGAGCAGCTGTATTGGCTGACAATTGTCTGTCCAGCTTCTTTGATACCTGTTGGCAGGAGGGAGATGACAGGGTCACCCAGGAAGAGAATTTTGGCCAACTCATCAAGAGCCAGCCAAAATATGCATATTGTGTGACCATTTTTAGTCTGTCAAAAGTTACTATATTTTGATCCTGCCAGTATATCCATTGAGTCTTCAACTTTCTTTTAGCTGTTTACTCTGCAGTGAAACCAGTACAGAGTTATCACCCTGTAGACATAGTAGTTTTAGAATTTTCAGTAAGCAAAAAATTAATTTAAGGTTATATGAAAGGCTCTGTTTTATTATTTTTAAATAACAAACATGTCAGTATTGCCTGCTCTGTGAAATGGTTTTCCACAGAGCAGCCTCGATCCTCCTATTCTTGGGTCCCCCGCCGGCGATCCTGGCCCCTCCCCCCTGCTGAGTGCCTTCAGAGTAAGCCACTTTCTATGTGAGGAGTTGTGCGTGCTCACTCCCGAGCCCTTTCTATCTATCTATAAGATACACAGAGCGTGGTTTAGCCCCGTCCCTTGCTTGCTCCTCACTGACTGTGATTGAAAGCAGTGAGAGCCAATGGCTCCTGCTGCTTTGTCTCATCCAATGAGCAAAGAGAGACCCAGGAGAGCCAAGGATCCTGTGCGAGCTCAGGTAAGTATGGGGCGAGGGCTTCTAGCACAGAAAGGTAAAAGACCTTCAGTCTTTACAACCAGATTAAGCTGAGACTTTTTTTAAACAGTCACAGCAACAATTTTTAAAAGATTACTTTTGCACGCTCCCCTGGCAGTATTACATGATTTGTCCCTAGCCCTTGTTAACTGTCACTTTTTATAGACAGCTTTATCTTCATGTACATATGGAGAAAAATAAGGCCTTTGAAGTAGAGGAATCCACATACTGCATACTATTAATTACAGGTAAAAACCACACACAGTTACTAGAATAAATTAGTTTTTATTCCATTTTTATAAAGTTTTGTGTTTAGAATTTAGTCTTACCAAACACTGGCTTGGGTATTCTGCTGCAACATAGCTGGCAATGGCACATGGGAAACACTAGAAAAAATACATCCTTTTGTGTTAGTTTCATGCATAAATGTAATATAATTAATAACACTGACCAAACAGAATAATACCATAACAACAACATAAGATATGACCTAATATACTGATACACACCTTATGTTCTGGTATAGGTAGCCCCATATAGAGAAAAAACAAAATACAAAGTTGCAACATGTTTATATTAAACCAGAAGTCACTTAATGGTATCATATCATTCAAAGGGTATTAAAATATTATCAAGGTAAATTGTTAATATAGTTATCAGCCTAAGAAGCCATGTGGACCTTGAGTTGGCTTTGAACTGTTGATAATGCTTGTCCCAGGAGGTTGCCTTGACCTTGCAAGTCTTCCGACACCTCTGGGTTTAGACACATTTCTACAGTATAGAATAATAATGCAAGGGACTGATTTCTTTAGTAACACCTCTATATTAGACTTGTTCAAAAGCGTAGGCTACATGAATATTGGGTTTTGGATATACAACCTCAGTTAACGGATAAAAGCAGAACACTGGTAAAACAGGAATATTCAATTAGCAGGTTTGACAGGTTATACAGCCATGAGTAGTATGCTTCAATTATTTAATTACAACACCAGCAGCAAGAGGGGGAAGAAATGGCTTGTTGACTTATCAGCTCCCTCAGTGCCACTGGAACCGTAACAGAGCAATGCAGAGAATTATGTAAATGTATACTCTGGCATAAATAGATATAAGTACCCTAAGTTGAAAAACAATGACATTAGAAGAGAAAAGGTCCATTTAGCTAGAGATTGCAACTTTCTCCAGTCCTGCGATGTTTAAAGTTTCTGATATGGTGGTATCTGCTGTCTCCTGCTAACAATGGTGAGGCCCATAAGCATTAGTGAACAATCGTAATTCAATTAAAAAAACAGATAAGCTGTGGTACTGCTCAAAGCAAAGATCTCCTGGTAACTGAGGTGTAAAGGTGTCTACATGCAGTGTCTCTAGAGTGATGACAGAAAGAGGTTGGGCATCCATCCGCTCATTAATCCTATGGATAGCACAAGCTCTTGGCTGTTTGCAGGGAAAAGTGTAAAAATGAGGCAGGGGTGGGTTTTTCCACAGGGGCGAGGGAGGGGAGGTAAAAGTATGTGCACTGGGGCCCATCTCATGAAGAATTTTCCACATCCTGATAACAGATTTCATAGAAATGATCTGTGTGTGTGGAGATTTCAGGCCTTTGTATGCTAGGTGTTTCAAAGCCTCCTAAGACCCCACTACTGCCACTTGTAACGAGAAAGCAGAAGCATCTTTTGAAGAGGTTAACCATCTATGGGCAATCACCTTTTTCCAGCTAAAAAAGTATTTGCAGAAGTTAGATGATGGCCAGTTCTCCCTCCCTCCAGGGTTGTTGTAAGACAGCCAGATGTATCCTAGGCACAACTCTCTGCTATACAGTTGTGTCCAAAATTATTCAACCCCCACTGAAATTGAGTGTTTTGGCCAGTTTGACATTGCTTTTGATCATTCAGTCATCTTGCTTACATTTACATTAAAGAGGCACTTGTAGGTCAGACAAATATAACATAACAGTTATAATGAAATAACCACAAATGTCTTTTCTGTGCTCACAGCATTATCAGTTTTATTCAACCCCCAAGTGACATTCAATCTTAGTACTTAGTACAGCATCCTTTTACAGTTATAACAGCTTTTAAACGTGAAGCATAGCTTGACACAAGTGTCTTGCAGCGATCTACGGGTATCTTCGCCCATTCTTCATGGGCAAAGGCCTCCAGTTCAGTCACATTCTTAGGCTTGCGCACTGCAACTGCTTTCTTTAAGTCCCACCAGAGGTTCTCAATCGGATTTAAGTCTGGTGACTGCGATGGCCACTCCAAAATGTTCCAGCCTTTCCTCTGCAACCATGCTCTAGTGGACTTGGAGGTATGCTTGGGATCATTGTCCTGTTGAAAGGTCCAACGTCTCCCAAGCCTCAGGTGTGTGACGGACTGCATCACGTTTCCATCCAATATCTCCTGGTACTGAAGAGAATTCATGGTACCTTGCACACGCTGAAGCTTCCCTGTACCTGCAGAAGCAAAACAGCCCCAAAGCATGATTGACCCTCCACCATGCTTCACAGTAGGCAAGGTGTTCTTTTCATCATAGGCCTTGTTCTTCCTCCTCCAAACATAGCGTTGATCCATGGGCCCAAACAGTTCTAATTTTGTTTCATCAGTCCACAGAACACTATCCCACAACTTTTGTGGTTTGTCCACATGGCTTTTGGCATACTGCAGTCGACTCTTCTTATTCTTTGGAGACAGCAAGGGGGTACGCCTGGGAGTTCTGGCACGGAGGCCTTCATTACGCAGTGTGCGTCTTATTGTCTGGGCTGAAACTTCTGTACCCACATCTGACAAATCTTTTCTCAGTTCCTCAGCAGTCACACGGGGACTTCTCTCCACTCTACGCTTCAGGTAGCGCACAGCAGTCGAAGTCAGCATCTTCTTTCTGCCACGACCAGGTAGCGTTTCAACAGTGCCCTTTGCCTTGAATTTGCGAATGATGCTTCCTAAGGTGTCTCTTGGTATGTTTAACATCTTTGCAATCTTCTTATAGCCATTGCCCTTCCTGTGAAGAGAAATCACCTCTTCTCTTGTCTTCCTGGACCATTCTCTTGCCTTCACCATGTTTGTAACCACACCAGTAAATGTCTAGAAGGAGCTGAGTATCACAGTCATTTTAAAGCTGCCTAATTGGTGCTTATTATGCTTGATTGCTGCTCGGTGACATCCACAGGTGTTTTCAATACCTGATGGAAAGCACCTGTATGAACCTCTGTTCTTCAGAGTGGTAGTCTTTAAGGGGTTGAATAATTGTGGCAATGAAGAAACCACATAAGAACCATTTACTACTGTATTACATAAACAATTGATGTCATTTTAGTTGCATTTGGGTAGTTACAACGTCCTTGTAGGATTTGATTCTGAATACAATTCCAAATGTACACTATAGTCCCTAAACCCCTTTACAGCATTGGGGGTTGAATAATTTTGGACACAACTGTAGAAGTCAGACATAAGTTTGTAATTTTTTGAAAAAACCTTTTTGGGAATCCACACAGAGGAAATGTGAAGAACATAACAGAAAAAGGGGGAGAAAACAGATAACAAATCCTTCAGGCATTTAATATATTTTTAAGTGAGCTAAGAAGTGGGGAGACATTCAAGGGATAAAATAAATAACAGACGTGGTTATTTTAATGCCAGGATAGTTGATCTTGGTGACCCATTGGAAGGCATCTAATGATGGATTCCTTGGGCGGGTCAGCACACTTATAGGACAATATTTTAAATTTACACATAGACCTGAGTAGGTAGCAAAACAGTTCAATATTTTCAAGGTGTCTTGTAGAAAGGAATTAGGTTTACAAGGAATTAAGATTAAGTCATCAATGTACAATGCTGTCTTGTACATTGATGGCAATGGGTTTCATCATTAGAGCAAAAACCCTCAGGGACAGGGGGCAACCCTGCCTGGTACCCCTGGATACAGGGCAAGAGTGGAACAGACAGACTCTAAGTATAATTACAGCTATGTAATGTCTGTGGCTTTATGTGGCATAAGGCCTGTTTGGTCAGAGGAGACCACCCATGCACTACATCTGAAAACTGCATGTTCTCTTTGAAAGGTTTGAGAACTCCCCTTGCCATTGACAGGGGACCCTCCTTCCTCAGCTGGACATCTTTGAGTTACCCTTAATGTCCACACTGTTTCCATGATGTCTTGATATTCTTTTTCTTAACTCCCTCATATAATTATATCATATGTACTCCTCATCTTACCTCCAAGCAGGAATACATACATTGCAGGTCCTATAATTCATTGACGTTCAACAGAAAAGTCATGCTGTTGCCCTACAATGATTCCCGTAAGTGTTTAGTGCAATTCCAAAGGGACTGGCTTTATAGAAGATACTATTTCTTCTACTATGGTAGAGCTGTGATTTGTAAGGCAAGGTCCTTAGATGCTTCCCTTTTTCCATTTGTCCCCTGAGGTAAAACTCCTAGTGCTAATTATGGGTTTACTACACTTCACTTTTAGTGGAGGATCTAACCACCTCAGGTATAACCTGGAAATCATGTTATCTCAAAAGGCAGGTTTGCTGCATGCTTGTCACACCCCTAAAACACCATTTGCCGTTGGTTGGACAGACTCCACTCCAGGGGCGGACTGACCATTTGGGAACTCGGGCACTGCCTGAGGGCCCGGGGTCAGAAGGGGGCACCATGAAATGCCCCTGGTACCTTTTTCATAAGCTTTTTGGGAGTGGTTTGAGTGTGAGCAAGGACACAGGGGCCCCATGGTCCCCTATTGCCCAGGGGCCCCATGAGTTGTCAGTCCGCCCCTTCTCCACTCTCTTCCTTCTACTTCCTGCTCTACCCCATTGTTACAGTTGTTGATCACCGTACCCCACCCCCTATGAAGGGCACAGGAGTAGTAGAATTATTTTTTTTTTCTCTTTACGAGATTACTTATCTTTTGATACCATCATTTATTGCCATGGATCATCCTCTCCCTGAAGTCAAGGGCTAGGGATAACCTATTGAGCTTTTACAACCTTCCTAAATAATCTTTCAACTGGTCCTGTTTATCTAACCTTCCTTTCCTTGGAGTCAAGGGTTAGGCTTGCTAGGCTTAAGCCTTTCCTGCAGTTGTCAAAATAATTTTTTGCTATGTGATAATTTCAGTTTTTCACTTTATTCCATCGTCCCCATGGCCTGCCTTCACAGACACCATCCATGAAGACAGTATCTCCAAATATGGGGAATGGCCCAAAGCACTCCTGCAGAAAGTGCAGCAATGGACTAGGTCATGAGTTTTTAAATGATGGGCCAGATGGGCCAGTCCCGATTCTTAATATTCAACAACTCAATTAAGTTAATTCCCAAAGACAAAGTCAATGGGGGAGCAGATCGAGTTTAAAGACTACAAATTTATTAAATGGGGATGTGCTGAACCT